ACACACACACACACACACACACACACACACACACACACACACACACACACAAACACACGCACACACTAAAACTCATTCAATACACTTTATATTACTTTTACTTTTATCCACCGCTTCTACCCTTTTGGGTGTCGCGGAAAGAAAGAGACGTCTCTCTGTCACCAGCCGGAGAGCTTGGGTCAGGGGGATGCCGTGAGTTGTTATTGTTTCCCTGACTCCATCTATCCAGGTATAATTCAATACACCATTTACTGAGGTGTGCTGACAAAATGAGTTAGGCCTACTTCTCGCTATCCAAGAATGGAGATATCGGCCAAAAATCGACACTGGGGTCAGATTTATAGATTTGTAATTGATGCCATTTTGTGAGTGTCTGTCGTGTCTTTTATTATTCCATACTTACAAATTGTACAAACTCCACCTATAAAGTTGATGTATTAATTTCCATAAGGCTGAAATCCGAGAATTAACTCATTTTGTCAGCACTCGTCGACACGTCATATATTATTTTTTCACGTCCCTTACAGATCAGAAAAAGTTCCGCACCAAGAAAGTGACGTGGGCTGCCATGGAGGACCACCTTGCCAATTTGGTCTACAGCGACAAGAGGCCATTGGTCCTTTTGGCTGCCAGGATTTGTATGGAGACTATGGCCAAGAACAGAGGTACTCATCGGAGATAGACTTTACATTCGTTATATTCGTTATATTCGTTATGTTCGTTATATTCGGAGGGAGATCCCGCCTTTTAAATAACCATACAGTGCTGAAAGGGGCGTTAAATCTATACATTTTGCAATTTGTCTACCCCAGCTCTCTGCCTGTGGGATGTATAGATCTGTGCATGTTCTAAAAAGTGGTAACAACCAGGACAATTTACATTTTTGAAAATATCCGAGCAGAGAAATAAGTGGCCAATAATTGAGTAACAAAATTATTGATTACTATGTCTGTTTGAGAACATCAACAACAACAGCAACAACAACAACAACAACAACAACAACAACAACAACAACAACAGCAACAACAATACTGGAACAGGAGCATCAGGGAGGAGGAGGAAAAGGAAGGGGAGGAAGAGAAGAAGAAGAAGAAGAAGAAGAAGAAGAAGAAGAAGAAGAAGAAGAAGAAG